AACCAAAATTGACCAGATCACAATGTTATCCTAAAAACAGTATATAAACTGATTATCAAAACAGCTATCGCTAAGCAGAGTAGTATTTGTAGGAGTGACTAAATGCAATATAACATAGGTATAAAACTATACTCCCGAGAAGCTAATATAAATATCAGACTAGGTTAATGATAAGAATGTTCAAGCCGCCGAATTGAGTAACTCTAGATTCACCAAAGGTTGGCGCATCAATTAGAGCATGTAATAAACTCACCCAGAATAAGTAAACCACAAGATAAAAGGTTTCCCGATAAAGAATGAATACCAGACTGCTTTATGCAATGCAGTGAATGCAAAAAAATAATACAAAATTAAAAGTATAACACATTGATTAAGGGCTATTATTGTAGCCACGCATTAGACTGAGCTTTTTTGTGCGCAGCATAATGCTAAATTGTTTCAAGAATTGCAGCATATTTATTAATGTGACAAATACCAAGAATAATGAAAATGTACATTGACCGAGGCATTCGATTCAAGCCAATAAGACGTATTTTGCGATATTGACTTCCTATTAAAGCTGCTGGCCTAGGCTTAAATTCTAAATCAAACAGTTGATAAAAATAGAACTATTTATTAAAAAAATGCTTACTATAAGCACATTTCCAATAATTGATGAGCGATTGGTGAGTTTCTGTGATTTAGATTCATACAAGTATCCAAGGTAAAGACGCATGCCCAGAAGATAATCTGCCGGTTGTCCTACATCCATCCAGAAGCCTATAGGTTAGTAAAATGTTCAACAATACCGGAGAATTCGATACAATATAACTCATCGTCAGAAACCATTTGTGGGAAAGTCTCAAGTTCAATCGAAGTTGGCCGAAGCTACAAATAGTGATAAAGAAAATGCCTACCGAAATGCGCTTAAGAATAGCAGGATTGAAAATATATAGACCAGCATTAACTCTGTTAGCAATGTACTCGTTTGGCTTTTCCACAAATTGTTTAATTAGACCCGTTTTGTCATTGTGAACCACTGCCCCGTATTTTGAAGGTTCTTCTACTTTTGTAACCTAAAAATATGCTAAAACAACACAAACCGCCATAGTTCCTTCATGTCCATGTTGCAAATGGAATTCTAGCATTTTTTTGAACGGATAATTGCAGATTATATCACTGTTTAATACGAAGAATGGCTCTTCGTCTTCGTTAATTAGGGAGGCCGCCTGGGCCAACGGTCCAGCTTACATTAGTAGTGAAATTACATGCTAACCTGTCCCAAGTGGCTCATCTTCGTAAGAAAAGCATACTTCAACTGGATTGTCTTGTATGACCTAAAAATATAACTACGTGGAAATACTTACTGTGTTGAGAATACCTCGAATGTACTCTTCTAAAGATGAAGCTTCTCTATTAATTGCTAGGATAACCTTGGTGATCCCAACCTAAAATTACTTTATAAATTTAGCTTTACTTCAAAAAGAGCCTCAAGTTGATGTACCAACATAGGACGGTTGCAGAATTCGACAAGTGGTTTAGGAACACTCAGCGTGAGAGGTCTCAGCCTCGTACCGTAACCACCAATAAGTATCAAAGCCTTCATCTTATTGTATAAAAAATATTTAACAAAATAAAGGGTGTATTTCAGAAGAGCAAGAAGGAAAGGCAAACGCACCAAATGAAAAGTGCGCAAATCAAATAGTGCAAGCAAAGTGCAGTAAATAATAAATCTTTTTGTCGCCTTAATTTTAATTTTTGGAACTAAATCTCATGTTGATTATTTTAATTTAATCTCTGCCTTAACGCAAATAAGAATATAGTTTGCATAGCATATTGCATTATTTTAATTGGTTAAATCATTCGTGGGATGAGCCTTCCTTTGGTTTGAAAGTGCATGAAAAAGAGATCCGTAGGCTGATCCCACCAGAATACGACATCTGAATGCCGTTTTACTGTGGCCATTTGGCTTTAATATGGCGTTAGTGTTGACGCAGTCCATGAGGCGTCCTTCCCGACTTCGGGTGAAAAAGGACTGAGCTTTCGCTCAACATATAGCGGACTTTGTCGGAACTGGAACTCATTCTTGTAAAAGTCTCACATTAATGCTAAGTCAAGAAGACTATCCGGTTTTATCTTACCTATTATATATATTCATGACTAAAAACAAAAATGAATATACATAGATAGATATAGGATGTCGTAGCTAATTATCCTTCATATTAGTCCTGCTTCTTTTGCTCGAATGTGTGCGCATGTGTGTCTTTTAACATCTAAACGCAATACTGGTCCTAGACCGGAGTGACTAAAATATGTTAATGTCAGGCTCTGATCATCAAGGCTTAATGACCCAAGAAAAAGCCCCTAACGAGACTGCCTAAGTCCGTAAGCAAGTATGGTTGAAATAATGAAATGTAGGCTTGTAAGTGTGTAAGTCAGATTATTAAACAACCTGTCCAGACATCTCAGCCTAGGGGCATTAAGGTTTAACTGAACGAGGAAAGGAATAAATGTGTCTACATAATCTGGTACGTCTGGTTTGGTTGATGAATTTAATCTAACATGTCACACGAGTATGGAGGATGCTAGAAGCATCACTGAACGGACAATTTAAATCGCCTTCTTTTGGATGGTAGCTCTACACCTCTTTCTCTTTTAATCTATCACTTAAATATACGTATTTCTTACTCAAATTTCTACCAGCGTTTTTTAAATTTTACGCTTTATCTAATCTATTAATTTCAATAGCCTCCCTTAGCTTCCTTTTGACATCAGACGCACAATAATCAGCAAACCTGCCGATTTGCACCCATTCTATCTCATGTCCAGTCTTTGCCATGGGTCCGGCCTCTTCTGACACTTAGACACGGGAATAATTAAGTGGTTCTAGAGAATACTCTCTTTATCTGATATCCTATCTTTTTTCAGAATTACATCCTGCATTCACAGAGCCTGCTCATTTCAATGGTGCACCATTTCAATTATGTACTAGATGAAATAGAGCTTGGAGGCCCTAATTGAAATGAGCCATTCGATACTATATCTTGTTTATTACACTTAAGTCGAAAAAATGCTTATATTTGTACTATATAGCATTAAGGTGGCCCGCTGTTTTTAAAGAAATTATAGAATTTATCCTAGCTCCTTCCATGTTTAAAAGTACACTATACTTACAAGAGCATTTTCAAAGAGTAAGAGGGCTAATCTTCTTTTAAATGGCATGGCGTTTTAAGTTATATATCCAGACTGTGCACATTTAGTATTTCCTATCAAAAAATCAACGAGTAAGAGTAAAAGCTAAGTATATGTGATATGAGATGTATTCTCCCTAATTTGTTTAAGGCAATGAAGAACTGATAGTAGAATTTTTCAACAATGAAGTGAGTAGATCTAAAGCTTGCTTTAAATTTCACATAGCTTTGCTTTCCCAAAAGTTGTTCTCATTCAGTAGACTGCAGTTTTGAACTCGCATAGGCCTTATCAACACCTCCGGCAGAAGTCGAACCGTGACAATGCAGAACGTGAGCTTGGCACCTTAACGACATGGCCATATTGCCACGAGTGCCCTTAGATCACAGGGCAGATGTGAATTTCGATTAAGGCTAGGCCTTTTATCATAGCACATCTCATATTACTGATTTACTGGTACTTTTGAAACTCTACTTACGTACGAAAAATAAGTAAAGTATAATCGAAGATATGAAGACCAAGATGGTGTGGCCTTTTGTGTTCTGAACAACTTCAATAAGTAAAGTAGTTGATTTTTATAGCAAATATACGTTTTCTTCATCTACAATCCCCCCAAAGAACTTGATATGGAAAAAGGTCTGGCCTTTCTGGAAATTCACATCTGCCCCGTGACCGGAAGCCACTCGTGGCAATGTGGGCGAGTGGTTAATATGTAAGGTTAAATAGTTAGATGTTGGAATACCTTTCATTTTGTTTAAAGAGGCAGGTGGAAGGGATTCCTAATTTGGCATCACAGAAAGTTATATGGAAATTGCCTTGGAGCAGTGGCTTTAAATTTGTATGAAGAGATCCTCGGTGCATCGCCCTGCGGCTCCGATGAATTATCGTTAAGATTTTATCTGTTATGTGCCGAAATTTTCTTAGCAGTACACCATTCTTAAAGATAATTCACCAAAACAAGAAAACAAAAAAGGTGACCTACTTCAAACCTACTTACTTCTTCTAGTCCAAAGCATAGTCCAACCAGATCATAGGATGCCTCATTAAGTGAACCAAGTTAAACTCTAAAGAATGGGAAAGTTTAAAGGCGGCCACCTTTCTTGGCTTCATACTTTGGTGAATTAGTGTCAAGCGTGGTGTCCTGCTCTGATGATGTTCGTCACATGGCGGACGCAAGCTCAGTAAGGATTCATTGGGGTCGCAGGTCGATGTTCCCTTTATAAATCTAC